CTGTCTTGCCCGGCTCCTGTCTCCTGTGGCCTCAGGACAGTCAGGAACAGATGGTCTTAGTGTGTGCCCCCTTGACTCAGACTGGGTGCCTGTACGCAAAGCTGTCCTTTTCTCTAACAGCTGCCTTCCGATCTGAGACTGTCCTTCCCCAACCGGCACCTGTGGTTGATGTCTGGAGGGTCCCAGCCCACCCTGGATTGGCCACAGGATAAGTCATCCATTCTGACTCTTGCCCCCTCAAGATTGGTACTGTTTCCTATGGGCACCACTGACCTCAGCATGGTGACATCCCAGAGAAGTTCTAAAAGCGCTGTTTTTGTGTCTCAGGAAATGACTGGGATGCTCGCTCTGGAGTCCCTTCAGGCCTCATTTTGGCAGGCCCTGTGCAGAGGGTGGCATTGCTTCCTGTTCCCATCAGTTCCTTGCCCGCCGACAATGTGGACTTTGCCTGGACCCAAGATGTCGGCCGGCCGGGAGCAGCCCTTCCTGGGACTGAGCCCTGGGCTGCTGGCGTGGGTGCTCCATTGTTCGCCGTGAACAATGAGCAGTCTTTGGCCAGGAAGAAGAGTTCATGAAAAGAGCATTTCTCTGGATGCTTGAGAGCTTTGTGGCGACCCTGCCTGTGTGAGATGAACTGCAGTTTCTTCCTGCCTGGAGTGGGTGTTCCCTAGTTCTGAATGGACCCCTTGTGAGCACAGCACACCGGGAAGTAGGGGTTGGCAAAGGAAGGCATCCTTGGGGGCGGGCTGTCAGCATGGCATGTGCCCAGACTCATCAGCTCAAATAATTACTGAAAATACAGGCTTCTGTGTTTAAACAAAAAATGACAATGACTGAAAGAGACCATGACAAAGTCAATATACATAATGTGAGGTCCTCTAGATTGAATGACTCATTCTGAGTGTTTTACTGATGACTGTAACAATACTAAACTTTTCCTTTTTTTCCTGTAAGAAGAGGGGTTAATATTAAATTTGAGAAGCTGAAATTGTGGCATAGTGAGTTAAGGTGCAGCCTGTAGCACCAATGTTCAATGGGTGCTAAGTCATGACTGTTCTACTTCCAATTCAGCCCCCTGCTAATATCCTGGGAAAGCGGTAGAAGATGGGCCAAGCCCTTGGGCCCCTGCTCCCATGTGGGAGACCAGGAAGAAGTTCCTGACATTGGACTGCACTGGCTCTACAGCACTGGACATTTGGGCCATTTGGAAGACAAACCAGCAGATGGAAGACTCTCCGTCCCTTCTCTCTGTCTTCCTGTGCTCTGCCCTTCAAGTCAATGCATCTTCAATTTTTCTAGAAGTCCATGCAGCCTGCCATGTGAGTGGCAGGAACCCAGTTAACGTGAACCATCACTGTTGTCTCTCAGGGTTTGTATTAGCAGGATGCTGGAGTCAAAAACTGGAGCTCTTGTGTTTGTTGTAAGATTTATTTTTATTGGAAAGATAGTGTTACTGAGGGAAGGAAAGACAGATCTTCCGTCTGCTGGTTTATTCCCCCAAATGGCCACACCAGCCAGAGCTGAGCTAGTTCCACTTTCCGTCTCATCTTCTCCAGAGATTGCTGAGACTAGACAGCTTTCTGGCCCTTTCTCGATGACCTGTGAACTGGGGCCTGTGATCTTATACTAGACTTGCCTCTGCAGTCTGGTGGGTCAGACTGCCAGCTGCTAAGTGAACACCTTACACAGAACCCCAGCTGTTTTACCTTAAATGGCCTTAAAAATGTAGAGGTGGCACGTCTGTGACTTGGCCAGGTTCTTCATGGAAGTTAGCTTTCTTTTGCTTCCTAAGACCCTTCTCTTAAAATATATCGTTGCAACTTTAAACGCTATTTGGGCTTTGATGTTCCTGGTACTGACACATCTGGAGGAGAAGGGGTTAGACTGTTCAGGTTTGTACTTTTCTTTCTTACCTAAGAAGCTTCTGTAACCCTGAGAGCAGTGTCTACTTCAGGTCTGCACGTGCAGGTTTGATAGCTGTCTTGCAGCCGTGTATTGGGAGTCAGAATCTGCACATGAAAACATGTGTATGTTGAAGAGGCTTGGCTCTTGTTCTGTCCTGGCTTGCCCCCAAATTCATACAGCCTTGAGTAGACAGTAGTAAAAGAAAGTACTCTCATTGATGAAAATTAAGCTAACAATTCTCATCTCCCAATTTGAAATTAATTGAGCACTATAACTTGCTTTGGTGAAACCTGGAATTTTTGATGTTTGCAATTTCTATTACAAGTTAGTTGGCATAAAGCATGCTGCTTCATAGGCAGCCCCATGGGGACCTGGTTCATAGAGAATCCTGCATTTGTTCTGTAGGAATGTCTGACAGCAGCACTTGGCTGCTTAGGTCATGGAGTAGAAAGTCAGCCATACTGGTGGTATATTTTGAAGGAGGGAAGGCCCCTACTCTGTTTTCTGGGTTAGGAAATGCTTTTTTTTTTTTTTTTTTTTTGTGGCTGGAGAGAGATTGGAGAAGTGCCAGCTGCTTACCTCTCTGCTGGTGGAACACAGGGTTGGACACAGGCCCAGCTTCCTGGCCATTCAGGAATGTCTCATAGGTGTGGCCAGCCTGGTCTTGCGGTTGGCTTCTCTGTGACTTGATTTACTCAGAGCTCCATTCCAGGCTTTCTCTGTCACCTGCCTCTGTTGCACGAGCTCTATCTCTGTGGTGGTAGTTGTGGTATGATCTTGGGAAACACCCAGGGGTGGCTGAAGACCAGGGCCCATAACCTAACTTACCTACTCCACTCTTCAGGACTCCTGCTTGGGTCCCACCCCTGCAAAACTATGTGTTTACATTTGGGTACTGCAGTTTTCATATTTAACATAAATAAATGAAAAACAGTTTTATGCATAAGGTTTTAGCCAAAACATTTGAAACAAGAATTGTTTTTACAGCTAGAAAAATTTTAAGAAAAATATATTTAGGATGTTTTCATGGATTTATTTGAAAAGTTACAGAGAAGGAGAAACAGAGATCTGTTTGCTGGCTCACTCCCCAAGTGGCCTCTATGACTGGGGCAGGGCCAGACTGAAGCCAGGAGCTAGGAACTCCCATCAGGGTCTCCCAGGTACCAGGGCTATTTTCTACTGCTTTCCCAGGTACATTAGTGTGGAGCTGCATTGGAAGTGGAACAACTGGGCTTGAACCTGGGTTCATATGGGGTATTGGTGTTACAGATGGCAGCTTTACGTGCTTTACCACAATATTGGCCCCTTTCCATGGATTTGAAGATTGCTGTTTATAGGTATTTTAGCACTTCTGTTTGATGGTAAATGATGAGAGATTCTTAGTGGTACATAAATTAGATAATGGTATGTTTCAGATTTGTGGCATCAACAACACAAAACTGTTCACACAGATTCTCAATAAGTGGCTCAGAGAGCAGTTAGGAAAGGCTAACCCCAATAATAATGACTCCTAAGAATATAAGTTGTCTCCTCATAGAGTTACAGGTTTTTTTTAAAAAAAGATTTATTTATTTTTATTACAAAATCAGATATACAGAGAGGAGGAGAGAGAGAGAGAGGAAGATCTCCCCAAGTGAGCACAATGGCCGGTGCTGTGCCTTCTGGAGCCAGGAGCCAGGAACCTCCTCTAGGTCTCCCATGGGGGTACAGGGTCCCAAGGCTTTGGGCCGTCCTCAACTGCTTTCTGAGGCCACAAGCAGGGAGCTGGATGGGAAGTGGATCAGCCGGGATTAGAATCAGTGCCCATATGGGATCCCGGCGCGTTCAAGGCGATTACTGTAGCTGCTAGGCGACGCTGGCCCCTCCTCATAGGTTTTTGCTGAATGTAGCAAACCTGTTGAAATTCAGCTAAAGGGGAAGGAGGCAGTGTCTAGTTTCTGATGAGTTTGCTGCCTGGACACCTGCACCCTGGCAGGGAATATTAAATACAAGCCAAGGGCCTCCTCCCCAGTCCACCCAGATTCCTGGCTTTTGGCAGAGGGACCCAAGCCTGAACTTAGTCTTCCTGCTGCAGGAAAGGAGATATTTTAGTGCCCACCCTTAGCAAGCAAGGTGCTAAGGGATAGTCCCTGCGTGGAAGGATTGGATTGACCCCCGCCACTGGGGGTCCAATGGAATGTGCCATCCATTAGAGCACTTCCAGACAGATCATAGTGTGCCTCCTTTCTTGTGTGGGGATGGCAATAGGTGTTTCCCAAAGGTTTGAGCAGGAGGCAAGTCTCCTTCCCTCGTGTCAGCTGTCAGTGGAAGTCTCTGGATGGCATTGCCTTGAGTGCTCACTATGTCCCTGTGAGAGAGGACTTCCCACTGAGAGGAGTCAGAAGCTGTCTCTCTACATGCATTGCCTGCACTTGGCTGAAGACCCTCTCCTGCAGACACAGGCACCTCAGGGTTCCTGCTGGGTGCTGTTGCAGGACACTTGACTCTAGTCCACCTCTCCAGGCGTGATCCTCTTGAGGTTTGAGAAGGAGGATTAGTTACAACATTAGGTATAGCTGTGTTTTCTGTAATGTGTTCCCCTGCCCTGAGTGTCAGCTAGCAGTTGTAAAGTGAATTTGTTCTGGATGTGAAGCTTTGCCTTGTCTCCAGGCCTCTGCATTTCCACTCCTAGATAGGAAGGGCATTCCTGGCCAGATGAGAGGCAGAGGGGACAAGGGAGTGAGTAAGGTGAGACTAGAAAGCAGTGCTGATTGCTAAGGTGAAACTCTGGCTGGGTTCTGCAGGTGAAGTGTCACAGAGGTGGGCCAGAGTGTGCTACTGGTGTGAATGTCCAGAGCATTCCGGCTCCTTGGCATCAGTTCTGTGTCTGAGTGCCAATGCTGTTGCCTGCATGCTGTATGGCCTAGGATGAATTATTTGTCTACCATGTTAACCCATCCAATAGCCCCAGTCTTCTTGTGACAGATGCATGGGGTTGCTTGCATTCTCTGGAAGAAAGGAGTTGACTTCCCCAGTAGGAATTCAGAAATGTTCCACCATCAGGCCTGTCCCTGTGTGACGGCAGCCCTTGCAGCTCATGTTTGTGTGTCTTGTAGGTATCAGCAGCAGGAAAGGAGGCTTTGCCATCTTGGCTGCACTGGGATCCGCAGAGCCACACCCTGGAAGGCCTTCCCCTGGACACTGACAAAGGGGTGCACTATATCTCAGTGAGTGCTGCACGGCTGGGGGCCAACGGCAGCCACATCCCCCAGATGGCCAGCGTCTTCTCCATCGAGGTCTACCCCGAGGACCACAGTGAGCCACAGTCTGTGCGGGCGACCTCTCCAGACCCAGGCGAGCTGGCGCCCTCTGCCTGTGCTGCCGATGAGCCTGTGACTGTCTTGACAGTGATTCTAGATGCCGATCTCACCAAGATGACCCCGAAGCAAAGGCTTGACCTCCTGCACCAGATGCAAAGCTTCTCGCAGGTAGAGCTCCATCACATGAAGCTGGTGCCCGTGGTGAACAACAGACTGTTTGATATGTCTGCCTTCATGGCTGGTCCTGGAAATGCAAAAAAGGTGGTGGAGAATGGGGCTCTGCTCTCCTGGAAGCTGGGCTGCTCGTTGAACCAGAACAGTGTGCCTGACATCCGTGGCGTGGAAACCCCTGCCAGGGAGGGCACCATGTCTGCCCAGCTCGGCTACCCTGTGGTGGGCTGGCACATTGCTAATAAGAAGCCGCCTCTCCCCAAACGTGTCCGACGGCAGATCCATGCCACACCCACCCCTGTTACTGCCATTGGCCCCCCAACCACGGCCATCCAGGAGCCACCATCCCGCATCGTGCCCACCCCAACATCCCCAGCCATTGCTCCTCCCACAGAGACCATGGTGCCTCCTGTCAGAGACCCTGTTCCCGGGAAGCCCACAGTCACCATTCGGACCCGAGGTGCCATTATTCAGACTCCAACCCTGGGCCCCATCCAGCCTACTCGGGTGCTAGAAGCTGGCACCACAGTTCCTGGTCAGATTCGCCCAACAGTGACCATTCCTGGCTATGTGGAGCCCACAGCTGTTGCTACCCCTCCTACAACTACAACCAAAAAACCACGTGTGTCCACACCAAAACCAGCAACGCCCTCAACTGACTCAACCACCACAACTCGCAGGCCAACCAAGAAACCACGGACCTCCAGGCCAGTGCCCCGGGTCACCACCAAGGCACCCAGCACTAGGCTGGAAACGGCCTCACCACCAACTCGTGTCCGCACCACCACCAGTGGGGTGCCCCGTGGCGGGGAACCTAACCAGCGCCCTGAACTCAAGAACCACATTGATAGGGTGGATGCCTGGGTCGGCACCTACTTTGAGGTGAAGATCCCATCAGATACCTTCTATGACAAGGAAGACACGACCACCGACAAGCTGAAACTGACCCTGAAGCTGCGGGAACAACAGCTGGTGGGCGAGAAGTCATGGGTACAGTTCAACAGTAACAGCCAGCTCATGTATGGCCTCCCTGACAGCAGCCATGTAGGCAAGCACGAGTATTTCATGCACGCCACCGACAAGGGGGGCCTGTCGGCTGTGGATGCCTTTGAGATCCATGTCCACAAGCGCCCTCAAGGGGACAAAGCACCTGCACGCTTCAAGGCCAAGCTGGCCGGTGACCCCACACCGGTGGTAAATGACATCCACAAGAAAATTGCCCTGGTGAAGAAGCTGGCCTTTGCCTTTGGCGACCGCAACTGCAGCACCATCACCCTGCAAAACATCACACATGGCTCCATTATAGTGGAATGGACCAACAACACGCTGCCACAGGAGCCCTGCCCCAAGGAGCAGATTGCTGGGCTTAGCCGGAGGATCGCTGAGGACAATGGGCAGCCTCGGCCGGCCTTCTCCAACGCCCTGGAGCCTGACTTCAAGGCCCTGAGTGTTGCCGTCACAGGTTCTGGCAGTTGTCGGCACCTGCAGTTCATCCCAGTGCCACCGCCCGGTACCCCGTCTTCAGTGACACCCCTCACGGAGGTGCCAGACAGGGACCCCGAGAAGAGCAGTGAGGATGACGTCTACCTGCACACGGTCATTCCGGCCGTGGTGGTTGCTGCCATCCTGCTCATTGCTGGTATCATTGCCATGATCTGCTACCGCAAGAAACGGAAGGGCAAGCTCACCCTGGAGGACCAGGCCACTTTCATCAAGAAGGGTGTGCCTATCATCTTTGCTGATGAGCTGGATGACTCCAAGCCCCCACCCTCTTCCAGCATGCCCCTCATCCTGCAAGAGGAGAAGGCCCCTCTGCCCCCACCAGAGTATCCCAACCAGAGTGTGCCCGAGACAACTCCTCTGAACCAGGACACTGTGGGAGAGTACACACCCCTGCGGGATGAGGATCCCAATGCGCCTCCCTACCAGCCCCCACCACCCTTCACAGCACCCATGGAGGGCAAGGGCTCGCGTCCCAAGAACATGACCCCTTACCGGTCACCTCCTCCTTATGTGCCCCCTTAACCCACAAGCGCCTGGGTGGAGGCAGGGGTAGGGCAGGGGCCTGGAGACAACGCAAGGTTGTCTGTGGAGACCAGTGGCCCGCAAACCATTGTCCACCCACCGGGAGCTGACGCCAGACCTAGCACACACTGACACACGGGGCCTGGACAAGCCCGCCCTCTCTGGTCCTCCCAAACCCCCCAAAGCAGCTGGAAAGACTTTGGGGACTTTTTTTATTTTTATTTTTGCCTAACAGCTTTTTTGTTTGTTCATAGAAAATTCTTCGCTGCGTTTTTGGTGGCTGGCTCTGAAAGCACCATGTGGAGTAGAGATAGCTGGGGGGGCGCGAGGAACCGTGAATGAACTCGCAGGCAGTGCCGGGCAGCCCCCCGGCTCTCTGCGTTTTGCCTTTAACACTAACTGTACTGTTTTTTCTATTCACGTGTGTCTAGCTGCAGGATGTAACATGGAAAACAGTAGCTAAAGATTAAATTCAAAGGACTTTCAGAAGTTAATGGGTTAAGTTTTTACATTTAATCTGCTGTTTACCTAAACTTGTATGTATAATTTTTGGGTGGGTATGGGGAATTGGTTTGCTAAAAATAAGCTCCCAGGGTGTTTCAAACTTAGAGAAGACCAAGGGACAGTATTTTTTATCAAAGGAATCCTATTTTTTCACACTATGTCAACTTGGTTGCTCTGATATCCCAGAGCCTAAGCGGGGGCCAGAAGACCCCCGCTCAGGGGCCGGGGCCCTGGTGCTGGATTTGTTCTCCTGTGGTAGACAGGAGCTGGAAGCTGGAGGGGCCTCTTGGGCCGTGGACATCCCCACCTCCACCCCATGCACGCTTGTGGCCCACCACCAAGGGGGTCTTCATTCCCATGGGAAAGGGACTCCAAGAGGCAGTGGTGGCCATGGCCCCCACCCTAGGTGCTCCAAGGTGGGCCAGCTGCTCATGGGGGCGCCTGGGGAGGTAGAGGGACTCAACCACATTGACCCATTTTCTTTTACCTTTCTTCTTCTTTCCCCCTCTTCCCTTTTCACACCCCGCCCTCTCCCCCAAAAAAGGAATACCACAGCTTTTGAAACACTCAGTGGGGGACATTTTGGTGAAGATGCAATATTTTTATGTCATGTGATGCTCTTCCCTCACTTAACCTTGGCCACTTTGTCCCAGCAGTCCACAGCCCTGCCCTGATCCCAGTCTACCCCTATTCTCTGGCGCTCCAGTCCCCGGCCTTGGGCCCAAACCAACGACTGGAAAAGCTGTGGTGGCCAGGGAGGAGTGCCAGCAATAGTTCATAGTAACAGATCTGTGGGCTCTCAAAGCTAATTTTTTACTAAAAGTTTTTATACAGCCTCAAATTGTTTTATTAAAAAAAATAGATTAAAAATGGTGATGCTTACAGCAGTTTGTACAAGCTCTTAGTGTCAATTCCATGGACCCTGACGGCTTTGCTCGTATTGATTTTTTTTTTTCCTCCTCCCTCCCCCTTTTCCTAACAGTTTAAATTCTGGAATTACACTGGGCCTCTTTCGCCTTTTTTAGCAAGAACGTCCGTCTGTCCATCTACATCTCTGTCCCATGACTCAGGGGCGCCCGCTGTGCTTCGACTCTCCTCGTTTGGAAGCAGCATGACTTTTCTTGGTGTCCAAGTTATTTTGGGTCCCTTTTAGGGAGGAATGCCTTTCGCAATAATGTCGCCCTCTCCTGGTCTGGGATGGGTGGGTGGGTGGATCCGGAGCAACTACTTTCTAAGCCATATCGACTATTTTGCAGAGGGTTCATGTGTGTGCTGCCTCAGGAGGGCAGGGCAGGGCTGGCCAGGAGGGGCAGGATCTCCCTTCTGCCATGTCTGGAGGGCTCTTCTGCTTGGCTCTCCTCCCACAGGCCCCAGACCCCAGTCCCTAGCAGGGTCCTCCGAAATAAGCGGTGCCCCTGTGGGAGCTCCCAGTGGACAGCAGTGACTATTGGGCCTGGAGCCTCCAAGCCCTGGTCCAAGCCAGAGTTTCCCTGATGCCTCAGAGTCAGGAGCACAAGTGGAATCTGACCCGGGTGAGATTCTTTCTGATGACCTTGTCAAAAAATAAACAATTCCTACTGTTCCAGGTAAGGGCTTTGAAAGGCCTTCCAAAGAGCTCCGTTGCCGCAGGCAACCCCACCATCGGGCACCGCTGCACAGAGACAGGCCTGGCCCCAATGGCCTGTTGCCTTAGCAACCGGAGCCGATGGGGCAGTGAACAGAATAATAACAGCAACAATGCCTTCACAGGCAGCCTCCCCTGCGTGCTGGGCTGGCTAGTCGGCCGTTGGACTCTGTTAGACGGAGAGCCACTCTCACACTCAAGTTCACCAACCACTGACGTGTTTTGATTTCCTTCTACATGATTTTACGATGTGTTTTCTGCATTCTGTATAGAAACATATCAAACTAAATAAAAGCAGCGTCTTTATTACAATGC